CCTTAGGTGTATGTGGCTGGCACCCTAGCCACTTGAACCACAAGCGCCGAGCCACATCTAGCTATTTTTTGGTTGCAGCCATCGTGGTTTTGGTGGGCTCAGGCTGGATTCGAACCCACCACCTCAGGTATATGTGGCTGGCACCTTAGCCACTTGAGCCACAGGCTCCGGGCCAGCAATCTGGTTTAAAAAACCCTCTAGTACACGCTAAAGTTTAAAAACCACTGGCATAATGCAATGTAACAGTTAAGAGGCAGGATTCAAATCATGGAATAAGCAGAGCTGATATTTACTGAGTGTTGACTATGCTGTCCCATGGTTTCATGGAATTTCTAAAAGCACCTCATGAAGTTTGGTACTGATTGTTATCTCATTTGAAAGATCAGGAAACTAAGGTATAGGGAGGTAAACTGACTTACCCAAGATCATGGGGCTTATGAATGGCAGAGCTGGAACCTGAAAGTTAGGTCCTTCTGCCTCCAAAACCCATGCTGATAAACAGGGTGCCAGCATTTCTCCAAGCAGCATCTACAAACATCATTGGTAGTGATGGGGTAGTCTCAGAGGGGTCCTTGGATGCCCATTTTAAATTCCAGTAGTTATGTAATTATTGGCTGTATTGTATTGAAAATATGTAAGTGGCATTTCAAACTCATGATTTCAATAGTAACATTAAGTTTTCTTTTAAATTAACCAAATCTGGCCGGGCATGGTGGCTCACGCCTATAATCCTAGCACTCTGGGAGGCCCAGATGGGTGGACTGCTTGAGCTCATGAGTTTAAGATCAGCCTGAGCAAAAACAAGACCCCATCTCTACTAAAAATAGAAAAATTGAGGCAAGAGGATCATTTGAGCCCCAGTTGGAGGTTGCTATGAGCTATGATGCCATGGCACTCTATCCAGGGCGACAGCTTGAGACACTGTCTCAAAAAAATATAAATAAATAGGGCAGCACCTGTAGCTCAGTTGGTAAGGTGCTGGCCATATACACCGAGGCTAGTGGGTGCAAACCTGGCCTGGGCCACCTAAAACAATGACAACTGCAACAAAAAAATAGTCGGGCATTGTGGCATTGGGCCCTGTAGTCCCAGCTACTTGGGAGGCTGAGGCAAGAGAATCGCTTAAGCCCAAGAGTTTGAGGTTGCTGTGAACTGTGAAGCCACAGCATTCTACCCAGGGCAACATTGTGAGACTGTGTCTCTAAACAAATAAATAAAATAACTAAATTTATATTAAAAGTTAATTGCCACTGGGCACAGTGGCTCATGCCTGTAATCCTAACACTCTGGGAGGCTGAGGCAGGTGGATTGCTTGAGCTCAGGAGTTTAACACCAGCCCCAGCAAGAGCAAGACCCCATATCTACTACAAATAGTAAAAATTAGCCAGGCATAATGGCAGGTACCTGTAGTCTCAGCTATTTGGGAGAATGAAACAGGAGAAAGAGGGTTTGCTGTGAGCTATAATGTCATAGCACTCTACCCAGGGTGACAGTGAGACTGTCTCAAAACAAAAATAAAAGTTAATTGCCGTCATGAAAAATATGAAGTAAATAAAAGTACTATTAATTAAGTACAGACATGGCAAATATGGTAGAGATGGTAACAAGGAAGTATGAGAAAGAAACTAAGCCAGCCTTTGTTACAAATATGTAACAATTTGTACATTTTTTTGGGAGACAAGAGTCTCATTTTGTTGCCTTCAGTAGAGGGCCATGGTGTCATAGCTCAGAGCAACCTTAAGCTCTTGGGCTGAAGCAATCCTCTTGCCTCAGCTTCCCAAACAGCTGAGACTATAGGTGCCTGCCACAATGCCTGCTGATTTTTAGAGATAGGGTCTTGATTTTGTTTAGGCTAGTCTCAAACTCCAGGCTGGTCTTGAACTCGTGAGCTCAAGCAATCCACCTATCTTAGCCTCACATAGAGTGCTAGGATTATAGGCATTGAGCTACCATGCCTGGCCAATTTGTACATTTTACCATTAGATAAATTATACCTAAAAAAAGGAGATAAAAAATACTGGACTCTAGTTAATGATGTTGTACAGTAAAGTGTTTAGAGGGAATTGTATTGAAGCTGGCTTCTTGCTTTAAAATGCATCACAAGAGTATGACGGACTAATAATGAACAGATAGAGTTGGATTGGGATGGTGGCAATGTGACAAAATACTAGCAATCATTAATGCAGAATCCACATAATGGCAGACACAAGAGTATTCACTGAACAATTCTTTTACTTTCTGTCTGAAAATTTCATATTGAGGGAAAAATCTATAGATTGTCCCATGAGATGAAATGAAGGAATGAATGGATGAATAAATAAAGCCTCAAAGACAGGGCAGAAATCTGCTAAAATGTTTTCTTTATGCATATATATATATAAATATATGTATATATTTACATTCCAAAGCAGGCTTCTGTTACTTTTATAATAAAAGAAAATTATTTTTGAGAATGAAAATGATACAAGAAGTCAATTGATAAAATAGGCATTTACTCAGTGGGCATGATGCCAGGAAGAAACTCCCCGAGACCAGCTTGGGAGTGGGAGATAATGGCTGCCCCTGCTTACGGGAATCAGGTCTTAGTACTGCCCCACCCCCAGTCTGCAGGGAAAGCTGGGAGCAGAGCTCACAGATGGGCTGTGGGTGGAACTGGGTGTCTGACCTGCCCACCTGCCCACAGGCCAGCATTTCCTGCACCCTGAGGAGCCAGAGTATCAAGAGAGATGGCAGAGGAAGTTGTGTAGAGGCAAGGCCAAGAGCCCCGACAGGGAGATCCCCAAGGTGTCGGAGATACAGGCAGCTTCCATGGCAAATTCCCGGTGCTCATCACTGGTCTGAGGGGACAGAAAGCAGGGGTAAGGCTTAACTCCTAGAGCTCCCTGCCCTGGACCTTCCCAGAGAGACCACAGCCCTCCCCTAGCGGGTACTGACCTCCAGGGCAATGTTGTGGAAGGTGTTCACGTAGGCTGCACCCCCTAGGAGCCCCTCAAACAGAATGATCAGGAAAACGAGGTAGATGCTCGGTAGAAAGCTGAACCACATATCCGCCAGCAGGAAGGCCAGGTTGAGGCACTATGGGCACAGGTGGAGGAGAGGGCTGAGCCTGGAATATACTGGTGAAGGAGAAGGCGGACAGGCCTGCAGAATTCCAATACCAGCCTGGCCTACCAGACCCTGAGATCTGGGTGGCCTTTCCCCCACCCCATCCTCAGTACCCTGAACATCCCAAGTCTCTCCCTCATTTGCCTTTGCTCCTATCACTCCTACCACGATCACAACCACCACTACCCCTACCTCAAATCTGTTTCAGCATCATTCCCACTCCTAGGATCTCATTCCCTCCTGCCAAGGGCTCCCTGAACAGAACACCCCCTCCCCAGCCCTATTTTATCATAGCAAGACCGGTGGTTCTCAAATGGGGGCAAAGGGATATTTAGCAATGCCTAGAGGCATTTTTGGTTGTCAAAGCATGAGAACAGGGGTGCTACTGATATCGTGGGCAGAGGCTAGGGATGGTACTAAAAACCCTACAACCTTCCAAAACAAAGAATTATTAGAATCCAAATGTCAGGAGTGTAGAGATTGAAAAACTGTGGCAAAGATGGAGTCTCACTCTTGCTGAAGCTGGTCTTGAACTTCTGAACTAAGACAATCCACCCACCTTCACCTCCCAGAGTGTAGGGATTACAGGTGTGAGCCACCTCACCCAACCACAAGAAACCATTGTTTAGACGTTCCCACTTCTTTTAGGAAGTGTCCATGACACCCACCAGAGGGGGGGCAGGCTCCTCTTCTGTGCCCAGTTGCTCAGGGGGTTTCATCATCAGGAATAAAAATAAATTCAAATGTTTCTGACAGTTAGAAACATTTGAAAGCTCTGCATCAGGCATATACAAGTGATCATTAAATAACCAGTAAGAGGGCCACCGCCTAGCAGGCAGGCTCTTTATGAATCTAAGAATTAGAATCACCTAGGACCTTGTTAGAAATGCACCATGAAGTCTTTCCCTTAAAGGTCCTAATTCAGTGCTGAGGTAGGCTCAGAAATGTGCATTAAAAAGCACATACCCTGGGCGGTACCTGTGGCTCAGTGGGTAAAGGTGCTGGCCCATATACCGAGAGTGGAGGGTTCAAACCTGACCCTGGCCAAACTGCAACAACAAAAAAAATAGTGGGTGTTGTGGCGGGCACCTGTAGTCCCAGCAATTCAGGAGGCTGAGGCAAGAGAATTGCCTAAGCCCAGGAGTTGGAGGTTGCTGTGAGCTACAGCACTCTACTGAGGGTGGCGATGAAGTGAGACTCTGTCTCTTAAAAAAAAAAAAAAAGCACACACCCTGGTAATACTATTGTGACAAGTGAAACACTCCCAACATGTTCTTTGCTGCATTAGACTAGATGTTTTCTGTAATGGAAATAAATGAAATAAGCCCTAACTCTACAAAACAGACTTGGTTAAAATCACAGCTAAGACTACAGTTAACAATAAGTTAATGGTGAACTTTAAAATAACTAAAAGAGTAGAACTGGAACATTCCTAACACAAATGGTAAATGCTTGAGGTGATGATACCCTCATTACCCTGATTTGATCAGTTCATATTATGTACCTGTATGAAAGCATTCTGTAATGTACCTATAATAATTTAAATAAAAAATTACATAAGCTATACGCTTAAGCAGCATCTAGAAGAAGCTTGAGTTACAGATTGTTGATATGACAATTTGGGACTTTGTTGGTACAAGCTCTGGGCTGGCAGTACTGCTTAGATAAATAAGCAAGAAGGGCAGAGGGCATTTACGTGCTTTTACAGCTTTTGCCTTAACATTAAAGTACTGTCAGTAGTTACTCTGTAACTTGTTATTATGGAATTGAGTTCTGAAGTTTAAGAACAATGGTCTTGCCTCTAATAGTTGAAGGTTTATTTTAACAATTACCTTCAGGGGCTATGGACTTATAACCTTGAACAATGGAAGCTGGCTATGTGAAACTCCTTTGTCAATCCTTTTGTAGGGAAGGGTGTTTGTGCTGTGGACTACTGTTTTGCCATGGGTAGCAAACTTGGCTCACTAGCTGTGAGATTAATAACCCATTGACTAGAATGTCACTGATTCTATTATAATTAACCATGCAGAATAAAAGAATTGTGCATTTTCTTACAGTTAGAAACGTTATTTGAAAGGCTGTCACTCTGCATGGGGCATGTGCAAATAATCACTAAACAATGCTTCTGATTAAAACAGAACACAAAAATCTTATTCTTTCTTCTCCTCATCTCTACTTCTTATAGCTACCTGGAGAAATAGATGTTGGCCACACCTGATTTACAGAGGAAACTGAGGCTCAGAAAGGTTCAGAGACGTGCCCTAAGTTACACAGGTGCTAAGCACAGAAGCTGGAATTTGCACCCAGATTTGCTGGGCTCCTGACGCTAAACTTTTTACTTGGGAGTCTTACCGGCCTTTGGTTTCCCCATGCTTACAAATGAGAGTGTACAATGAATACTTCCCACTGAGGGAGGGAGGCAGCAGGGCCTGGAGAAACTGGGAGCCAAAGTAGGAGGGGGTAAGGAATAGGGGTGTGGGGCAGGGCCTTGATACCTGCAGCACTGCCAGGGCCCAGACGTAAGGGATGCGACAGCAGGAGAGAGAAGAGCGGGAGACAAAGACACCAGCCTGGTACAGCATCTGGTACCTGAGATGGGAGTGGGGAATAGGAGGGACTTCCTTTGGGCACCTGTCCACTCTCCCCTCCCCCCAACCCCAGGTTCCTACTGGCCAGGGACACCCCCCCCCCCAGCTCACTGCCCCACTTCTCCTACCAGCGGTACTGCTGAGCGTGACTCAGGGATATGTTCCGGAAAAAGAGGAGCTCGAACTACAGCAAAGACCAAATAGGGGAAGATGGACAAGGATATGTGGATCCCAACCTGATTGCTCCCTCCACAGCCCTCCCTGCACTCCTCACTCACAAGTCCCTGGTTGATGAAATATTCAGCAAAGTAAACCAGGACCAAGGGGACGACGTATTTCAGCAGGCTCTGGAAGAGTCAGAGGATGTAAGTGGAAGGCTGAGAGGTGGGCGCCACCCGTAGGGGACACACCACAGCCACCATCCAAACCTTGAACACAGTCCACCTTTCCTGAAGGGAGAGGCCTGAGCTGGAGCCTGCAGGGGAACACAGAGAAAAGGGCAGATGAAGTTTTCACACTGAAAGGTTCAGCGGAGGGGCGCTGGTGTGCCGGGATCAATCAGCCAACACAACACTGGGAACAGACTAAATTGCCACTGGATTCTGTATTTAAAAACGGTTAAAATGGTAAACTTCAAGTGTACGTATTTTCCCACAATTCAAAAAAAAAAAAAAACTTAACCAGGTGAGACCTCTTTATAGCTGCCCACTATCTGCCTACTCTACCCAGCCTCACTGGCCCTTCTCTGTTTCTAGAACATCTGAGCTTATTTCCACCTTCCAGCCTTCCCACTTGCTGTTCCTTCAGTGACTGGAATGCCTGGCATACAGCCAAGTACTTGGCAAGTATTTCTTGAGCATGTAAACACTTTTCCTGTAACCCGGACACCCACCCTCTTTGCCTCTTGACTATGTCCATTGTAGAGAGGAAAAATCTAAAATCCAGAGAAAAAACCTGACTTCTCTGAGGGTCTGTGTCTCCTACCTGTCTTCAACTCTGGGGCCTCGGTGCCTATCAGGGGCTGCCGAGCTGCTGTCTCTGCCTCTTCTTGCCCTCCAGGGTCCTGGGGCTCAGGAGATGTGAGCAGTAAGAAATAGCTAGAGAAAGATAAAGACAAGGTCAAAGGGCCATTGTTGGGCTGGAAGGGACCCCAGAGACCCTCTTAGTCACTCTCTTCCACATCTGAATACTTCCAAAGATAGGAAGCTCACTCCCTCTAAGGCATCCACTCTGTGCTGAAGAGCTCAAATTGTGGAAAAATGCTTTTGTCTTTGGGGCTACATTTCTGAATTTCTCTCCTTGTGGTTCCCACCCAGGGCCCTTGTCCGACTGGGGGTTCACATCAGGAGAATCAATTCTATTTTCTTGTCATTTTAATTCTAATAATTGTTCCAGCTACCATTAATTGTATGTTCACTTTGTGCTAGGTCAGAATTTCCCCAAATCTAGCCACTTTATTCCACACTTCATGTTATCTGCCATATCACATTCTTCCTAGGATGTATTGTTTGCTTAACATTTCTTTTGAATTGGCTCGCTTTTTCTACTTGGCCTTGTCCTAAGCAATAATATGTGCAGGGATAGGTTTGATTGGCTAGTCCAAATTGCTTCCTCCTACACCTAAAAATACACACAGAACTAACAAAACAAGTCCACTTTTGTTCTACTTCAAATCATCTTGGGAACCACACTGTGCTGAACACGTCACACCATTCATCATCTCACAGGAAATCGAGAACTACTGGTACTTGAGATGTGGGGAAACTGAGGGTCAGAGAGGTGAAGTGACTTGTCCAACTCCACACAGCTAACAAGTGGCAGCTCCGGAACTAGAGCTACCAGAGTCCATCTCCTCACAGCAAGGTGGTGAAGGATCTGAAGACAGGCATTATGATCAAGTTCTCTGTCCTCAAATCTCTCTTCCTCCCAGCTCAGGGCAGCTCACCTGGCCAGCAGCAGGATGGGAATACCCAGCATGGACAGCAGGGTGTGTTGGGGGGAGAGGCCAACCTCCGTGAGGCCCAGATAGGACAGTGCCCCCAGCAGCCCTGCGCCCCCAGTACCCGACGACCACCAGGAGATCACTGCCCTGAGGAGAATACAGGAACACTTAGGAAGACCCAAGCCAGCAGTGGGCCAGCCTCTCCCCTCAGTCCTTGTTCCAGCTGCTTACCTGGGATAGAAGGCGGTAAGTGAGAGGAAGGTGACCTCCCCCAGGCCTGAGGAGATGCTAGCCAAGACTACACCTGGGAGGAGGACAAGCACAGAGGTGGCCATACCTAGCCTTTCCTCAATAGCCCCAGTCCCCCAAGGATTTGACCATGGCCTCCTCTGCGTCAGCTCAGAGGAACTAAAACCAGATCCCTTGGACAGATTGGGTTCCAGATCTGAAGCAGAGCCAACGTCCTCCTCCTCATGTCGTCTCACAAAGAACAGTATTTCCATCTACTCAGTTAAAGGACCAGGAGAAAGAACTTACCCTTGACATCCCCTCAGCTATCATAGTATTTTTTTTTTTTTTTGAGACCGAGTCTCACTATGTTGCCCTTGGTAGAGGGCCATGGCATCACAGCTCATAGCAACCTCAAACTCTTAGGCTTAAGCGATTCTCTTACCTCAGCCTCCCAAGTAGCTGGGACTATAGGCATCAGCCACAATGCCTGGCTATTTTTTTAGTTGTTGTTGCAGTTGTCATTATTGTTGTTTAGCAGGCCCGGGCCAGGTTCAAACCCGCCTGCCTCGATGTACGTGGCCAGCGCCCTAACCACTGAGCTACAGGCACCGAGCCTATCACAGAGTCTTGATGACTTCATTTGCCTCAGTCTCCATCCAATCCACCCATTTCTTCTCATCTCTTTCATCATCTGCCCCTCCAAACTGCTCTCCTCTCTGATCTCCTACTCATGACAGCCCTAGCAGGCTTCTGAGGGTTACAGAAATAACCCCTTTCCTCTGAGAAGCTGGGGTTCTCAGCACCCCCCACAAATGCTCTGCTGTGTTTCTCTGGGCCCCCACCTGACACAGAACTGGACACTCACCACACAAGCTGGTCCCCACTGAATGAGAAAAAGCAACCAGGATGAAGCTCCCGGCAGCAGAAAGCCCACTCACGAGAACTCGAGGGCTATAGTGAGGAAGGACAGGGAGGGAAAGGTCAGCCTCTACCCACACAACCCTCCCATACCCCCAACATTCTGCCTCCTCCTCTGCTCTCCAATCCTCCCCACTCTCAGCTCCCACATACCTTTCCTCCCCTCACCCCTACCCAGACCTGTAAGGCAGCAGATGAAGGCCAAGAGGAGCCACTAATTTGATGATGAAGGTGGGAAGGATGTCTGCCAGGAGCACCGCCTGGACAGGAGAACAGAGTGAGACCCCAGACCTTCTCAGGGACAACCCTCCCAATTGAGGCTAAGGAGAGATGGGAGCTGGCTGATTAGGCCTTCTCTAAATACAGGCTCTGAGTCAGGCAGATCTGAGTCAGATCAAGTTCCAGTTCTGCTGCTCCTTAGGTGTCCGACTCTCAACTTCCTCATCTGAAAAATGGGAGCAGTGCCTAGCTCACAGGACTGTTTTGTGGATCTAATGAGCTAATACATGCTTCACGCAGAAAGGGCTCAGTAAATGGTGTTCTTAATTATTTTCACCATTTCATGATGATGCCAGCTATGTACCAAGGGGTCAAGGGTGGGGTCTACAGATCAGAGGGCCTGGGTTGGGAGGGGACAGATGAGTACGTACAGCTGTGGAGACAGGGTTGCAGTCAAACCGAGATGAGCTATTGTGGGGAATGGGTGCTGGGCTTGGGTGCACCTGGTAGGAGAGGAGAAAGTCTTTTACTCATGGAGGCAGAAGAGTAGACAAAGAGCGCCTGGCTCAAATCCCAGCTCTGCCTTAACTTGAAGGATAGCTGTAGATCAGCACTGGTCTCTCAGGACCTCAACTTCTCTACATGCACAGGGGAGGGAGATTTCCATGTAAGTCTCAAACTCACGGCTCACAAGCCAAAATTTAGTCTTGGAAACACTGTGTTTAGGTAATATATTTAAGAGCTTTAATATATAAATTCAGGCATCTAAAAAATCTGATTCTTGGCTCAGCACCCGTAGTACAGTGGTTACAGCACCAGCCACATACACGGAGGGTGGTGGGTTGGAACCCAGCCTGGGGCAGCTAAACAACAATGACAACTGCAACAACGGGTGTTGGGGTGGGCACCTGTAGTCCCAGCTACTTGGGAGGCTGAGGCAAGAGAATCGCTTAAGCCAGTGGTTCTCAACCTTCCAAATGCCGCGACCCTTTAATATAGTTCCTGTTGTGGTGACCCCCAACCATAAAATTATTTTCGTTGCTACTTCATAACTGCAATTTTGCTACTGTTATGAATCGTAATGTAAATATCTGATATGCAGGATGTACTTAGGCTACCCCTGTGAAAGGGTCATTCAACTCCCAAAGGGGTTGGGACCTGCAGGTTGAGAACTGCTAGCTTAAGCCCAAGGCTGCTCTGAGCTGTGACGCCATGGCACTCTACTGAGGGTGACATAGTAAGAATTTGTCTCACAAAAAAAAAAAAAAAAAAAAAGAAAGAAAGAAAAAGAAATCTGATTACGGACAAATTCACTGTTGGACCTGGAAGATGACAGCTGCTCCCCTTGGATGGGACATGCCCCATGGTCAAGTGGTTCTCAACCAAGGGCAATTTTACTTCCCCGAGGAATATCTGGCAATGTCTGGACACATTCCTCATTGTCACAACTGGCAGCCATGGGGTGTGCTACTGGCGTTTAGCAGGTAGAAGCCAAGAATGCTGCTAAACATTCTACAATGCATAGGTAACAACAAAGTCTCAGCCAGCCGAAAATGTCTATAGGACCTAGGTGAAGAAACCCTGCCATAGATCCTGGTCCCTTCCAGCCAACATCGGAGCTTGCAAACTGGTATCCATTTTATCTCTTAAAGGCCATTCCTGCTCTGAGGGTCTGAGAGACTAGGAACTTTAACCACCTTGTCCCACCCCAGGCCAGTCTATTCTATGAGCTTTTCAAGGGGGCCTCTGCCCCAGGGTGAGTCTCTCATCTTTGCACAGGCCTAACCAGGGTGGGGGCAGGGGTCACTTACGTGGCTCTGATTCCCAGGGGCCCTTTCCTGGCTAAGGATGTCATGGGCAGCACTTAGCATCACCACATAAGAGAAGTTGTTGCAAAGGCCCAGCAGCCTGGAATGAGCAGGACAGATTTTAACTTCCTTCTAGGCTTTTAATCCGTTGCAGTCTTTGCACCAAACCGCCCCCCTTACCTGAGCCCTTTGATCAGCACCCCCCCTTTTTTTTCCTCTGTCACCTGATCCCATCTTTATTCAGTGTTGGGGTCAGAAATAGAAGCTTTGGGATCACAAACTTGGGCTTGGTCCCAACCTCTGAGACCTCACCCAGGAAGCTATCCTTGGTCATTGTCTCTCTGAGCTCCTACTAGGATTCAGTTCCTGGGGCAATTCTCATCCACTGATGCACTGTAGTCCAGTAAAAAAAAAATCCTGGGGCTGAAACCTAAAGGACTGTATTCAAGTCCCAAGTCTGCCACTTCTTATTTTAGTGATCTTGGTCCACTCATATGTAAAATGGGTATATAAAGTCATCTCTTGATTACCTCACAGAACGCTGCAGGGGTCAAAACAAGACCACACCAAAAACCTTAATGATCTCGTTCACTTACTCTCATCTCTCAGAGCTACACTCAGAGTAGAAGGAAACTGGGCCTAGTATCAGAGATTTCATAAGTGATCTTTTCCCAAGCCTACAAAATGTACTACCGTTCTCTTCCTTCCGATTTTACTGTTTAGAAAACTGAGGCAGAGAGAGGTTAAGCCACTCTTCCAAAGAACACACTTCCAACCCAAATTGCCAACCAAGTCCTCCGTGTTTAAGTTAATACTAGAAGTATTCCCAGACTCAGTATGTGAATGCTTTTAATGGATAACTTTTAAAAAACATCTTCATAGTGATGCATTTATTTAAACATGCATCAGGAAAATATTGGATTTCTATTTGGAGTAGTGATTTAAAGTTTCCTTTTTAAAAATACGTGCATTGGGCTCGGCGCCTGTGGCTCAAGTGGCTAAGGCACCAGCCACATACACCTAAGGTGGCGGGTTCGAATCCAGCCCCG